GAATACTATATAACTTATTACATACAAAATTCAATTATTTTATGAAACCTGTGTATTAATTTATATTTCCAACATTTAAATTTTTTATACTTTATATATAAATTTTAAAGGCCTAAAAAAATTTATATTTTGGGTCATTTATTTTATAGTGATTCATATGCTGGTTGTATCCACTTAATATTTTATAATTCTCATATTTGATAGTTTTTTATATGCTGCCGGTTATATACGTTTAATATTTTATTTTTTAGATTTCTATATACCGGTTTATATATTTAATATTTTATAATTCACATTAATTTTAAATTGTTATCAGAAATAGTTATTTAACAAATTTATGCGTTATATTTATAAATAACAATAATTTTATCTTAAGAAAATCTAATTATCCACCCACCCCCCCACACAGCAAATTCCTGCGTACGCGCCTGTGCCTTATAAATTCATTGACTCAACAACAAATATTTACGGCTCTTATCTTAGTTTTATATTTGGATAATTGAACATATCGGACTATTCCATTTACAATTTATTTTCGTTTTTTAAGTAAATAATAATTTTTTTTAAAATAAATGATCCACCAAGGGCCGTAACTATGAATTTTGGAAGAGTTAAGGGTATTGTGGAAATGTAACTTATTTTGCGTCTTTTAATAGGATTCCGCCGAAATTGCATCTTTTGATCACTTTTTATATGATATGTTAGATGATTAGAATACAAATTAAGTGATAAATAAACATTTGCAATATATTATGGCATAATATAAATAATCTGTAAATAACTAAATTTAGGTAATTTTAATAATAATTTATGTATTAAGAATTTTTTACATAGTATGAAATAATTTATGTATAATATTAAGAATAATTTATGCAGTATTATGGCTAATTTGTTCAATATTAAAGATATATGCAATATTTTGGTAGATAGATTATGATCTTTACACATCTATATTATAATTTTCCGATGTCCTCACTACATCATCGTGACGTCATGTCATCACTACGTCATGTCCTCACTACATCATCGTGACGTCATGTCATCACTACGTCATGTCATCACTACGTCATGTCATCACTACGTCATGTCATCACTACGTCATGTCATCACTACGCCATGTCATCACTACGTCATGTCATCACTACGTCATGTCATCACTACGTCATGTCATCACTACGTCATGCCATCGCTACGTCATGCCATCGCTACGTCATGTCATCGCTACGTCATGTCATCGGTATATATTTAATTTTTTATTTTATTTTATACAAACAGATGAATTGAATTTAGAGAATTGATGGTGTACACACACATACCTAACATGGATGAGAGATTTGAAAAATCGTCTTTGAATTGATATAAACAATATTCAAACTTTCTAAATATGAATGAAATAAATGATGTGAATAAAAAAATATAATTCACATTTCCAATGTCTCTTCATTTCTCAAGATTCAGGCTAACTTTTTATTTCACTTAATCCTTTCTTTATTTTTTAGATTAACTTATCAATTTTCATCATATTATCAATTACACATTAATGAAATCTCTACAAGATACTGAACTTGTATATTTTATTTGAACATACTTACAATTTTTGTCATTACTTACATTACAATTTTTTATACTCAAATTTTTCTTTCATAACCAATAATTAAGAAGATAACCAAGTATATTCAAATATTTAAATATTCTTATCCTAACCTATTTATAATCTCAAATCCTTATAAATAACTCTTTCTTTATTTTTCCCCTCCCTTAATGAATTTATTTATCACTAAATTTTATTATCTCATTCTTTTCTTTCTATCTCTATTATCTATTAACCACTATTTCTCAAAACCTTATCAATTCCTTTAATTTAATTTTTATTATTTTTATACAATAATAATTTATACCTTCTTTTTCCCTCCCTTTAATCTTATTTTTTAATTACCTTACAATTAATTAACCTTAATCTTAATAACATTTAATTCATCATGTTATTTTTTAACTTTTAGAATATCATAATAGGCTTGATAAGTCCCCCAAAAAATTTTTGATAGCCCTCCAACTAGTGTTGTTAAATGGTTGGTTTTTTACGACCCACAACCCGAGCCGAAGTCGTAGAAATCTGCTCAACCCTGAGCCAGGGTTGAAAAATCGACCACGACCCAACCCGACCCAATGGGCCTGTTGAGCCGACCCATTTGGTCGGCTACTGGGTCGGCTTGTTGGGTCTGCTCGCTGGGTCGGCTTGTTGGGTCGGCTTGTTAGGTCTGCTCGCTGGGTCGGCTTGTTGGGTCGGCTTGTTGGGTCGGCTTGCTGGGTCGGCTTGCTGGGTCGGCTTGTTGGGTCGGCTTGTTGGGTCGGCTTGCTGGGTCGGCTTGTTGGGTCTGCTTGTTGGGTCTGCTAGCTGGGTCGGCTTGCTGAATCGGCTTGCTGGGTCGGCTTGCGTTAAAATTTGTCATAATGGTCATCTTTAAATTTTTTCGAATTTTTTTGAAGCAAATAGGTAAAAATAAATATTGTAAACATGTTAAATTAAATTTTCAGTGAATATGTACCTTAGAAAAGTGACAATTGTCATAATCGTCATCTTTAAGTTTTTTCGAATTTTTTTGAAGCAAATAGGTAAAAATAAATATTGTAAACATGTTAAATTAAATTTTCAGTGAATATGTACCTTAGAAAAGTGACAATTGTCATAATAGTCATTTTTTTTTTCGAATTTTTTTAAATTAAATAGATAAAAAAATATATTGTAAGGATGTTAAAATATTTCAAATAATTTTTTATAGCCGGGCATAGGCTGGCATGAGATAACTCGCCTGTTGCTGACCTTTAATTTAAACATCTATCAGAAAAATCTAGAGGTTTAGACAATATTTTTCTTAAAATATTGGATGTGATAAAAATCGGATCAAATCGAGCCGTTTAACAACCCTATAGCTAATATTTTTAGAATCTTAAACTGACGATTACTAGAACAATAGTTATTGCTCTTTAAATATAAGTAATATGATTTGAATCCCATATTATACCAAATATATTGACTCAGGCGCGTACGCGGGAATTCGGTCTGGGGGGGGGAATAATAAAATTTTTGAAGAAATATTATTGTTTTTTAAAAATATCAAGCATAAATTTATCAGGACTAATAACTATTTCTAATACACAATTTTAAATTAATGTGAATTATAAAAAAATTATATGTAAAAAATCACTTAAATGACCCAAAATAGAAATTTAAATTTTTTGAGCCTTTACACAAAAAGTTTCTTAGGAATAATAGCATTTTGTATGTTATATATTTACAATGTAAAATCCAATCTTCGTTGTGATTGAGCTAATTTTTCAATTATCTCATTCTTGCTTGTTGTCAAATGCCTATGAATATTCAAAAGATTAAACCTTTAAATCTACTTACAGATGTTGTACTTCTTGGTATGTTTTTCGGAGACCTGATTTTTTTAAATATACCCGACCAGGGCCCGAAAATTTAAAAAAAAACACCCAAGCCGGGCTGTATTTTTTAGAACAGCCTATATTTGAAATCGTTATTATTCGCTATAAAAATCAAAAATAAATATAATTTATTTTAAAAATCTTGGCTGGGCCTGAAAATTTTATTTTAAAAAAAGCCGGGCCGGGCCTGAAAATTTTATTTTAAAAAAAGCCGGACCGGGCCTAAAAATTTTTACAAAAAAGCCGAGTTGGGCCTAAAAAATTTCTTAAAAAGGCCGGGCCGGGCCTGATTTATTTTAAAAAAAGCCGGACCGGGCCTAAAAATTTTTACAAAAAAGCCGAGTCGGGCCTAAAAAATTTCTTAAAAAGGCCGGACCGGGCCTGGAAATTTTATTTTAAAAAAAGCCGGACCGGGCCTAAAAATTTTAAAAAAAAAGCCAAGTCGGGCCTAAAAATTTCTTAAAAAGGTCGGGCCGGGCCTGAAAATTTTTTAAATAAAACCCTGCCGGGCCTTAAAAAATCTTTAAAAAAAATCCGGGTCGTGACCTGCAAATGGTACTTCTACAGGCCTCTGTTATTCTTCTTAAAAAAGAGAATGTTCTCTCATTAGTTTATTAATGGGAAGAGTTTATAAACCCTTTTAATACATTGGGAATTTAATCTAAAATATGTTTGAAATAATGCAGAGCATCCATAGCATTTTTTGGGACTATATCAACCATAGTTAATCTTATAAACATAGTTATTCAGCTAGTAAGGCATCATAAGATACTTTAACATCTTCATAATAAAAATCTAACAAATATTTTTTTTTCTATCACCATCTGAAAAAGGTTGGGAAGGCTTTTGTGGAAGTAATATTTGCAGATTAGTAAGTGTTGCATGATGAATTAAAAATTCATTTATTTGGGTTATAAATGTATCTGTATTTAAGATATACTCTTCTACTGATTCCCCCCCCCCAGCTGCGTACGCCAATGAAATCAAGACTTAAAATATTGTATTCAACATGGTAAAAATTATTAACTTTAATTTTAAAACAAAAACACTTTTCAATATGATATATTTTAATAAATACTCTAACTTATTGTACCAACATGGTGAAAATCATTAATTTTAATTTCAAAAACCAAAACACTTTTCAATATGATATATTTATAATAAATACTTTAACTTATTGTACCAACATGGTAAAAATTAATAATTTCAATTTCAAAAACCAAATCACTTTTCAATATGACCTATTGTAACTATTTATCTCAAAACACACATTTCTTTTTTTCCTTTCTTTTAAATAAAATGGTCAACAAAAAAATAATCATTTTATTCAATTTATATTTTTTTATGACTTATTTTTAATAAATAACAAAATTACATTTCAAATCTTCCCTTTTTATCCATACCATAAACCGTCATTTTATTATCGCTGGTATAGAAAATTTTTTTTAATCCCACATGGGGGTATTATTAATTTAAAGGTTTGGTTTAACAAAACGAAACCCGTCAAAATTATTTCAAAAAATATAATATTTTTATTACTTTTAAAATATAATATTTTTTCCTTACTCTTATAAATTAAAAAAATTTTTTTTACTTTTTATTATGGATTCCTCTCCATCTGACATTCTATCTTTTTTATACGATTCCCCATTTGAAAATTCAAGTCATTCTCAATTTGGTGAAGATTTTCAGGTAAAATTATATTTAAGTTAGAGACCTTCATGGGTCTAGATCCCGGCCCAGGCCCTCTAGAAAATTTATAATGCCGTGGGCCGGCCCGACCCATGAAGGTCTCTAATTGCAGTTAGCTAAAGTGACCATTAAATCCTGACCCATATATAAATCATACAAATGATATTTTTTTTAAAAAGATATTAGATCAAAGTTTGGTTCCGCTGAAATCTTCCAATGATCCTTGTGTCAAAAAAAATTTTTTGGATACACCAAGAAAAGGGAATAGAAAATGCACTTTGTGTAACAAAACCTATCGCATAAGTACATCATCAAGTAAATTTTTTTTAATATATAAAATACGTAAAATTAGCATAAAAATTTTTAACGAATGATTTAATTAAATATATTTTTTTTACCTTATTGTACCTTTGTTTTTACGTAATAAAATATTAGTGTTGTAAAAGGGCTAAGCCGAACTCAGCCAGTTTTTGAGTAGAAAAATTACTCAGATACAAGCTGGCTCAATAAGCTATATGAGTTGGCTCAGGAGTTGCTCTAGCCGACTTTTCAGCAAAAATTTACTTTTGATTAATAATTTTTAAAATTATAATTATGTAGAAATAGTGTACCATCGCCATTTGGAGTGAAAAAATTTATTCAGATTTAAGTTAAAAATTATAATTATGTAGAAATAGTGTGCCATCGCTATTTTGAGTGAAAAAATTTATTCAGAACATGAGTATACTAGCTAAATTAGGTTGCTCAAATATTCTTTATAACTACAAGTTAATATATTAAACATTCCTGGCCCGAGACCTATTTTATAAAAATAATTTAGTTCGGGCTTAATAATTTAAAAAATTTAAACCGCGCCGGCAGGGGGTGGACTCGTTACGATACGGCCTCGTGGGCATTCATTTATAACGGCCTCATTTGTTCCCTTAAATGGTTTCTTCAAATTATATGATTTTTATAACTAACTATTTACATTTTTAAAAAAATAATAGTATGACATCATACTTATATATTTTGTTTTAAATTGATTATCTAAATTCATATTCATTGCACATATATATCTTGTATTAAATATAGTTATATATAGCACTATAAAATAAAATATACATGTTAAATATAAAATACCTACTCAATAATCAATTATATCAGAGTTGTTAATAGATTCTTTTTAAATGGATCTAGATACGGATACATCGTCTGAAAATTTATCTAGATATAGATACAATTTTTATTATACTCTTATATATAGTGTTTGCAATGGTCCGGTCCCTTTTTTCTAAAATAAGATCGGAATAATGGACCGTTAAGTCAAATGAGACCGGACCGTGTGACTATCGGTTCGGTCCGGTCGGTCCCATATAATTTTTTTTATTAAGCTACAAAAGTTTTTCCTGGCAATTTTGCTAGTATGAATATTTATGACTCATTTTAATAAGGTAATTGTTTAGAATTTTTTTTTTCGAAATGTATTATTGAACACTTTAATATTAGGATTTATGTATTCAATCATTTCCAAAAATTTAATTTAATCATAGTATTGTAAACTTTTATTTTCTTTAATCGGTCTTCAATCGGACCGGAACACAGAACCGTGTTGTAGAACCGGACCGTCCCATTAGACACAAGAGCATGATGGGACCGACTTGGACCGGACCGTCGGCCCGACGTCCGACCGGACTTTAAACACTACTAATATAGTTTGTATAATCTTAAATTAGATTCTATTGTAAAAATTAATGAAATGAACTAAAAATATTGACTCGTTATCATATTTATCAAAATATAACTAAAATAATGATTTTTAGATTTTAATATTGTTGTTAAACAGCTCGTTTTCAGCTTTTAAAAAAATCGGCTCAAGCCGTTTAACAACACTAGATTTTAATTTAATATATGGAAATCGAAATATATGATTATAAATAATTATTTATTTCAGTAATAAAATATTTTCAAAATTTTGGTCATTAAAGCACCCTCGTTTATTTGTAAAGACATTTTTAGCTATACTACTAAGTCTTTCGGCGCTTAAAAATACTAAAATCTCGACTTTTTGAAAAAATAATTTAAAATTTGTATCAAAATTTAAATCATTAAACAATCATATCTGCTGCTATGGGTTGCTGAAAAAATCGGCCAACAACTGTATGTCGGCAAATTATATTTTTTTGTGGAGCTAATGTTTTGATTATTTTTATAAATGAAAGATTTTCAACAACTGAAAATGGCTGCAGTGTTGCAACTTGCAAGTTGAGGTAATGCTAACTAAAATTTTCATATTTTTTGGTAGACATGGCAGATATGTTTTCATTATTTTGAAATATTTTTTAAAATATGCTCTATAAATTGTCATGGATAAACAATGTCGGAACTTGTTGATGCTTCATTGATTATTACTTCTTTCTCCCTCTTTGTCACTATTGATATTAATCTAAATAAATTTTAAAAATTAGTATAATAAAATAAAATTAACCAATTCTATTGAAAATGACGGATACCTTGAATAGATTGTAATATCAAAATTTGTTTGTTTTAAGCCTGAAATTTTTTTTAGATACCCGATGAATTATATTTGTCAATGTAATCTAAAATATTTAAAAGAAAATTTATCTTACATTTTTATGAATATTAGTTTTATTTTAATAAATAACACTGTTATTTCTTTTATAATACAATATTATATATTCTCAAACTTTTAGCGTTTTACTAATGTTGTTCAACTACTCGATTTGATCTGATTTTTAAAAACGGCTAACTATATTTTAGACAGGTAAATATTGCCTAAGCCTCGAGATTTAGCTTATAGATTTCCATACCTTTGTGGCATCTATGATCAAAATTTCCGGTTTTGCCTAATAATTTTATGGATAAAATTTTGAGTTAGCCGTTTTTAAAAATCGGCTCAAATCGAGCCATTTAACAACACTATTTTTTACCATGTATTTTTTATAAACTAATTAAAATTACCACAAATACAATTTATTATATAACAAATTTTTTATAGTATCAATATGTAATATAAATATTTGTTTAAAAGATAAAATAAATATGCTTATTAAATGATAATTCTCGCTGAAAAATACGGTAAAATACCGAATAGGTGAATTTTTATATATAACACCAGGTCGAATATAATTAAAAAATCCAGGCAGGGCCAAAAAAAATTTTTAAATGAAGGCTGGGCCTAAAAAAATTTTTTCAAAAAAATCGGTCGGGACGGGCCGTGGAAATAAAACCTCTGCAGGTCTCTGATATATGTTTTAATATTTTATACATAATTTTTTTTTATAGCATTCTTAATATTTTTTAATATATATATATATATTTAAATTAATTATTTCAAAATATTTAAATAATAAATAAACGGAGCCGACTTGGCCTTTGTACAACACTAAATAAGATCTTGTTTGGTTTTTTTTGATCAAAATGTTGAATTACTAAATAAGATATAAAAAATAATAATGAATTTTTAATGTCTAAAGTTTATTTATATTTTTAGCCAATTTGCGAAAACACATAATAACTTCACACCCAGAATCCCTATCCACTGTATCTGTTAAAGTACCCGATACATTATATGGTTCTAGGAAATTAACTGCTGATGAAAATTTGTATTGTAATAAATTAATACTTCGATATTTGATAAAAAATAATATTGCCTTTCATACAATAGATAGTCAATATTTTAAGGACATATTTAGATATTTAAATAAGAATGTCAAAATATGGTGCAGGCAAACTGCCATCAAGCACCTAGGCTCATTATATAATTGTGCCAAAAACAATATAATAAACATTTTGAATCAAGAAGAATGTCAGTTATCATTAACTACAGATATCTGGACTGGGCTAAATTCTCTATCATATTGTGCACTAACAGTCCATTTTATAAATAAGGATTGGAAGTTGAAAAATTTTTTACTAGATATAATAGAATTCCCGCATCCTCACACGGGAATAGATATATTTGAGTTGATAATATCAACTCTTGAGGAATTCCAAATTGAAAAAAAAATATTATCTATAACCCATGATAATGCTGCAAATGTTATAGTAGCTGCCGATTTGTTGGTAGATTATTTCATAAATAATGGTAACGCCAATGCAAATAATAATAGATGCTTAGCACACGTAATTAATATTATCGTTCAAGCGGGCTTAGACAGCTTATCTACTCATCTTGCCAAAATACATATTTTAATTAGCAAAATGCATAAAAGCCCAAAGTTTATGCAAGAGTATATCAATTTAAGTGGAGGTTGTAGGATACCACTAGATATAGCCACTAGATGGAACAGTATGTATTTAATGATAACTACTGTTAATAAAGTAATATTTTATTATTTGATATTTTTTATAATCATATTTTAATAGAATATAGATGCCATCATTAATATAAGTAGGCGATATTTACCCAATAAAGATAATTTGAACCAGGAGAAGGCTAAGTTATTGATTGAGCTAGAGTCATTTTTGTATCCATTCTATAAAATCACGTGTGAAATAAGTTCGGCGTCATCATCTACAATTAGGATGTCAGCCTTATATTTAGATAATATAGCGAATTCTTTATCGCTTAATGCCCAATCACATAAAAATATAATTATAAAAAGTGCTGCTAATATAATGAAAGAAAAATGTAATATTTATATCGAATATTTCACCACATTTTCAAATTATGCATCATCATTTCTTGATCCAAGAATTAAGAAAACATTTTTACCAAATTTCATAAATAACCTTGGGTTTTATGAAAAATTCAAAAAAGTATTTGATGATTATGGTACATCGAAATCAATATATGATTTCGAGGAGGAGGATAATAATGAATCCAATCTAATGTCTGTCAATATTCTGAATGAGTTAAGATAAATACTTAATTATATAGAATACTCATAAAAACTTCTAACAAACATTTTTGAAGCTATATTGGAGTGACTAAATTTAAATATTATGCTTACATTAAACAAAAATTATGATAGTTATTTGAGTTAATATAAATATTTATTAAACATTTAAAAATAGAGACTTAAGAACTTATAAAATTAATAAAGCATATAGTTGCAAAATAGGCATTTTTAAAATATGTTTGTTACAAGGTTTTACAATGGATTTGATTATATAATAAATAGTTAATTTAATTTAAATATTTTATATTAAGGAAATCATACATTATGCCAAATTTAGACGGAGAAGAAATCGAAGAATATTTAACAGATCCGGTTGCTCAAACCTCTGTTGATATTATAGATTGGTGGTCTCGAAACGCTAATCGTTTTCCAAAGCTGTCGACAATGGCCAAGGATATGCGAACAAACTACGTCCGTAGCAAGCGAACGTATTTTTTCTCGAGCCGGCGCAACCATTACTAAGAAGAGGAATAGGATGTCAGCCTCAACGTTAAAACAATGCCTATGTATAAATTCATGGGATGTTAATGTTTTAAATTTGCGTGACGAATTTTTTGTATAATTTGTTATTTTTCAATTATTTGTTATTTGATTTCATATAATTTTTATTTTTTATTTATGAAAATAATAAAGATATGAAAATGTGCCTTATTTATTTTGCATTTGTAAATTTTTACTTATAAAATATAAGAGCCTACTTGCGATAAATGAATAATAAATATATCATTTTTAAAAAAATAATAGTTAATATTTCTAAAAAGAAAAGGGGGGGGGGGTTTATAGATAAAAAATTTTTAATTCCTAATTAGTAGTATCTCTGAAGATCTAAATGTTTTCCAAATTTTTTCTATGATATTCATTCTTAAGTATGAATAATTGGATTTTGCATAAGTCATCCACACAATTACCAAAGAAAAAAAATCAATTAAAATTTATAATGATGCAATAGTGGTAGAAAGTATTTAGGGGGTTTAGCAAGGCCCGCTAACACTCGCTTTAACAATCGTGATATGTAAACAAAATATTTGTAAAACTCAGAAATTATGAAAAATAATTTAAAATTTGTCAAGAATTATATCCATGATCTTAAATCAAATAATAATTAAAATCTTGTGTTTCAAATCAAATTTGATATAAAAAATTTATAGTAGTTACATATTACTTAATATTTTTATAAGATTAGAAAAAATATATCTGAATGTCTTAAATTTAAAAATGAGTTCCTTGCTCAATTTTCCCTGTATTTTCCTATTATCTAGCAATCCTTTAAAAAGTTTCAAAGGATATACCACTCATATCTAATACCAAATATTATAAACTAAGTTCAAGTTAAAAAAAAAAGAATGAAATATAATAGCAGTATCAATATTAGAGATTTAGAAATATTTTTCTAATTATAAAAACTTTTTACTAGTCTGAAAATAAGTATAATTTATTTTATATTTCTAGATTTTTAAGGGTGGAGTCAAAAAGTAATGAAAGAAAAAATTTCTTAGTGAATCCAAATATTTTATAACATCTTTCCAATATCAAAATTTTTTTAAATAGGCTTAAAACAATTTTAAATAAAATTTTCCTCATTGGAATAAAATATAATTGCAGTGACACCTTATTACTAGATTCAATGGTTTTAGAAAATCTATAAATATCCAAAACTTTTTACAAGACTTTAAACATAAATAAAATGTTTTTTTAATTTTTACATTTCAAGCGTGGTGATAAAAAAAATAAAATTTTTGAACTTTATAATATTAAAAACCACTAAGATTAAAAGAAAGTTTAAAAAAACTTAAAGATGACGATTATGACAATTGTCACTTTTCTAAGGTACATATTCACTGAAAATTTAATTTAACATGTTAATATATATATTTTTACCTATTTGCTTCAAAGAAATTCGAAAAAACTTAAAAATGACGATTATGACAATTGTCACTTTTCTAAGGTACATATTCACTGAAAATTTAATTTAACATGTTTACAATATATATTTTTACCTATTTGCTTCAAAAAAATTCGACAAAACTTAAAAATGACGATTATGACAATTGTCACTTTTCTAAGGTACATATTCACTGAAAATTTAATATAACATGTTAATATATATTTTTTTACCTATTTGCTTCAAAGAAATTCGAAAAAACTTAAAAATGAAGATTATGACAATTGTCACTTTTCTAAGGTACATATTCACTAAAAATTTAATTTAACATGTTCACAAAATATATTTTTACCTATTTGCTTCAAAAAAATTCGAAAAAACCTAAATATGACGATTATGACAAATTTTAACGCAAGCCCACCCAGCAAGCTGACCCAGCAAACCGACCCTGCAAGCCGACGAAACAAGCCGACGAAACAAGCCGACCCAGCAAGCCGACCCATCAAGCCGACCCAACAAGCCGACCCAGCAAGCCAACCCATCAAGCCGACCCAACAAGCCGACCCAACAAGCCGACCCAACAAGCCGACCCAACAAGCCGACCCATCAAGCCGACCCAACAAGCCGACCCATCAAGCCGACCCAGCAAGCCGACCCACCAAGCCGACCCACCAAGCCGACCCAACAAGCCGACCCATCAAGCCGACCCAACAATCCGACCCAGCAAGCCGACCCAGCAAGCCGACTCATCGGGTCGGCCCAATGGGTCGGCTCATGTGGCCCATTGGGTCGGGTCGGGTCTGATCTATGGCTAAATGGGTTGGCTCGGGTTTAAGGTCGTTTTTTTCGGCTCAAACCTTGCTGGGTTTTCGGCCAAGCCGACCCGATCCAGCAATTTAACAACACTACCTCCAACTACTAGAAATATGCATCTAATATTGACCCATCTACCGGTTTTACATTATTTTAATGTTTGTTTAATTTCAACAATAGTTTATTTATATTTTTGCCTGATTTCTTTATTTGTCTAGGCTAACCCTAATCCATCACATTGCTACAAAACATGATGAATCTATTATTAAAGATAAGCAAATAAAATAATGACGATTAAACAAACGCCTTACCCATCCTAGAGTTACTGGTAGACAAAATAATAAAGAAATACGCTTGAAATGAACTCATCTGGAGGTTTATTTTGTTTTTTTATCTTATGTTTTATATCTATGTTTATTTTATTTTCACCCAGTTCTCCAAATGATATTTCAATCACCACTACCACAATCCCATGTCACATCCACCTATTTTTAACAAATATAAACATTTAATTCTGTACTATCATTCACTTCACTAGGAGTTAATATAAATATTACTTTATCCGATTCTCTCAGAAACATTCATGAATATTTAGAGGAATCTTCAAACTTGAATGTACAGTACGACTAATTTCATCAACTTTATTAATGGAAAAATATGCAGTAGTTTTGTCGTGGCCTTCATAACAATACTTACGACCGTTTTATGGTTGAATCAACATTGTCGTTCATGATTCTATTTTAGAGGGGGATACCAATGCTGACATTGACACAAATATCGTTTTGCGTTCTTCTTTTATCAGTATCCCAAGGCATAGGCATATCATCTTTATCAGGAGGTAATGTGTTTTGTACACTGCTTTGTTAATCCGTCATTACTTTCATATACAACCCTAAATATAAAATTATATATTAATTATTTCCTGTCCAGACGACCGCCCAGATTTATTTTGTCGCTTTTTCCATCGAAAATTAAAATGTCAACAAGGATTTGCTCTTTATTTTATCAAATACATAATAAATAATCCTCATTATTATTTAAAAAAATTATCCTAAATTTATATGTCAATAAAAAAAATATCTTAAAAAATATACAAATAATTTGCATATAAGTTTCATTAGTGTTTAATGGCATTTTTGTAATTTAGATAGACAGCATTTTTTTAAAATTAACATAAGAAAATATATATCCCTTATCAAATTCTTTGACAAATAATTTCAGAAATGCAAGACATACATTAAATTTATCTGAAAAACAACAATAACCCTATATAATAAACAACATATTTTTTAGATATAATTTTAATTGATCATAATACAAAAAAGTATAAGAGTCGGTTATTTTAATTTTATTTATCATGATTATCTAATAAGTGGTTGCCCAGGCCTTCCTAGTTTCCCTTAATACGAAATTTACATGTTTTTTTTCCATATTAGACTAATTGGTAAATCAGATATTTCACGTTCATGTAATGATATTAAAAATTTAACTATCTCCGAGGCGGGAAAAAATTTTCAAAATTATAATGGGTAGGACTGGGCTTGGAACCTCAAAATAAATATTCGCTTGCACCTGACTCTTGGGAATATTCTTTACAAATTATTAAGGGTTGAGCTGGGCTTGATAAACTTTTTTAAAATTATAAGTGGCTGCTTCCTAATATTGTGAGCCTGAACCTGGCATGACATCTATCGTAAAAAATGAATAAAAATCTCATTCCCCGTCATTTTTGACGGGCTTTCTACTAGTTTATTATTACAATTCGCTTCTAAGTGTATTAAAATTGTTAAAAACGCGAAATCTATAATAATTTGACGACGGCCGATATTTCAAGGGGTGACCCAGCTCCTAACTATAGATCTATATGATAAATATATAAATTTTATTATTATTTAAATATGAAAAAAGAATAAATCTAGCAATTTATTTAAATCAATTTTCTTCTATATAATTGAAAAAATGATTGAGATTTTATATTTTTCTCTTAAGTTTTTATGTAAAATGATAATGTGATGTTTAACAAATACTATAAAATAAATTTAAAAAAGAAAATTTTATATTAAAATTTTAAAAATTATAAAATACAACTTAAGTAGCAAATATTATTCATTTATATATTTTTATCCGCATTATAATAATTATATGATAGGAGGATCAAAAGATTAATAATCTTATTATATAAAATAAAATAATTTACATCATTTTATTAGCATTTATATCCCTAATTTAGTTAATTTTGACATATTTGTTGTAAATCATAAAGGTTAATTATAATACAATATTTTTTAAATATTATATTAAATTCTCATTTTGCAAATATATCGTCTTTTTAATAAGATATTACTTGATCACATATTTTTAATGTTATGCCTTCGAGTATTATACTATTGGATAAAATTGATAAAGAATACCGTTGGATAAAATTGATTATAAAGATTACCATTAGATGAAATTGATTATAAATAATACTAATAGATAAATTTGACTGACCTTTTTTTATTAATGCTGAACGAATATGAAATCAAATATATGTTCAAAATAACAAAAGAAAATGACAACATTTTATATATTAATTTTTTTACACTCTCTATCACTATAACAATGTTATTGAGTTCTTTGTATTCATCGAATTCACCCTATTCGAAAGTTTGTTTCGGCAATATATAACATGGATTAGTCAGATAGATGGATAATATGAATATACATACACAATATTTATATTTGTAAAATTTTAAAAACGACTTGTTAAACAACTATACTAAACTAACTTTTTTTAAAAAAAATTCACAAGCTTCTGCTCCTATATTCTTCTTTTATTTATGGAAAATATGAATATGTGGCTATAGGTTAACAACTAAAGGCAATTTTTGAAAAGGAAGAAAAAAAAATTTTAATTTTAAATTATTAGTTCTTTTTGTTTCCATGATTTTCATTACAAACTATCAATACTATAACAACTATTATACAATAAAATTGATCTCTTTTTCTTTAAAATGCATAAATATAAAATTCTATACTGATTGTTGAATGTTAAAAATTACGATTTTGAAATATCAGCTTTTACATCATTTTATGAAATGTATTTTATCATAATTCATTTGGAATAAGAAGATACGATAATTTAATTTTGCAAATAAATGTTTTCATATTGTAATGATGTTGTAGCATGCTATTATTATTTAAGCTTGATAAATAATATAAAAAGTGTGAAATATATGCAGGGTTGTAATCTATATTGATTTTTATAAGAACATAAGCAAGAAACGGTACCGGAGCAGTTTGTCCTTGCAAGAGAATTGTTTATGGTGATCTTTTATTTTTGGAAAAATTGTTTAGTAAAGTCAATCAAAATGGCCTGTGGTTTTATAACCATAAATTTTATCAAAAATTAACTTGGAATATTAATTTTTGGTGCAAATTTAATATAAATATTAGAATAATGCTTTGAGAAATTTTACAACACAGAAGAGCATGCGAGTGGCGATATTTTTTCAACTTAATTATTTAAAAAAAGTTCTAAAATTTTGTCTTTCCTGAATAAATAATTTAAATTTTTTGATAGAAGTATAAGAAATAGATAACTAAAATTACTTCAAATATCAAATATTTATTCATATTGATGACCTAATTTTTATATATTATATCATTTTGAAATTTCATATATATATATTGTGCAGAGGCCAGTTTATCCTCCCACACCCGCCCATACTAAATGTCTCTTAAATATTTATAAAACAAGGGACGAGCAGCGGGAGAATTTTAATTATTTTAGAATAAAATTAACAGAACAGGCTTAAGTTTATACTATTTTATTTTATATTATGATATAGAATATTTTATAAATTTAAAAAAATTATATCAAAATAAAATAATTAAAGAGCCATCTATTTAAACATTGGCAGCGGGGTCAAACATTTTAGATAAATGTTAGGATGGGTAAATTTTTTTTAGAACCATGGGAGCTGACAAGATAAATAACATTAAAAAGGCTGCCTTTCAGGTAAAACAAACTCCGCATATTTCAGACCTTTATTTGAGATATGGCACATAGAATTCTGTTATAAAGCTACTTCCAATTATTTTTATTTTCCCATATTTAGAAATTTAACGAATATAGAAGACATAAGCAAATTAAATGTAAGAATAGAAACACGCCCTACGAATATAATATTTATTAAAACATTTGTTAACTTTTTAAAAACATATGATATGATAAATAATTTTATACTAAATGTTAATCAAAGATGTTTGAAGGTAAATTTGGTATATATAGGGGCCTATATTGGGGTTATGCAACTGTTAGGAAATAAGAATAACATCTTGCTACAATACAAAATTTAGCAGTTTATTTTGTCATTCAAATAGTTAATCAACTGGATTTTACAGGTTAATGTTTAGCATTACTTTGATACTAGTAACATCTGTATTCCAAATAAAATAATTCATTCATATAATTTTTTTTCACCTATGCATTTTGCAAAGTAAACAATACTATCTTATATTTATAAAGCAATATTTTATAATGTTATTATTTCTTTTGCAATAAAATAAAGTATTTAATAAGTTTTAGTTTACTGGTTTTTATTATATTTAGATATTTTCATTTATTTTTGAAGGTTTTAGTATATAAATAAAAAGGTTTATTTATTATTATATTGTGAATTTAGTTTAACTTTTAACATATTAAAATTATCAACAAATGGTCATTTCATATAATTAATTCAACAATGTAATTTAAGTAATAGATAATTTTTATGAAATCACATTTTCTTATAAAATTTACTTTATAATTTATCATATTGCCATGTTTCACTTAGTTAATATTTTTAATTATTCAATGAAAGTATTATACTTTTATAGGCTAAGCCAATTATATATTGATTATATATGATTTAATCTTATTACAAATGTAAAAAATATTTATGAATTTTATTTTATAGACATTAAATATAATTTAAATTGATTCCCCTGTTTTATTTGTAGATGTTATGTTAATTTTTATAACTTCTTATTATGTTTTGTGCCAAATGTTAACTACATAATATATTATTTTTTCAAAATTAATTAATCTGCTATTACATTGAATAAAAGGTTGCCTACAATAACCTAATCATACAAAAATAAATCTTTTGACTCATTAATTAAATCTGGCAAAAAAACAAATTTAAATTTTAATCTTAACTATTAAAATAATAAAAAAAATTTTTACCATTATTTTCCATTAAATAAATTTAAAAAAAAAATTTGTTTTGTAACTATATTTGTAAAAAAATATAACACTTAAAATTAAAAGCAAGGCTCAATTTATAAAAAACAACAGTCCAAACTCATGTAGCACTGCTTGATTATTGGTGGTGGTTACTATGAATGTGGCCTAAGTCAATTAAATTTTTGGATAATATCTTACCATTTTGGTAGGCATCTTTCGACATAAAAAAATTATATTTCTTTATAGGCATCAATCTTTAGATATCATCTTGTTTTCTATAGTGTTTTTCTATATATATAAAAAATATACATTAAAAACTAAAGCCTCATTACATATCATAATCATTTTTTTTAAAAAGAAGAAAAATTTTAGTTAGTCTATAATTATAATTTATTTAAATCTTTTATTCAACAAGGAAAATATTATAAATATAACCTATTTAATATAAATATTTTCCAAATTTCATCTGGGATTTATAACTATCCAAACATTTGCATCACAAAATTTCAACTATTCAAAAATATAATTCAATTATAGTCTGTTTTGATCTGAATTTCGAAAATAATTTACAAATATGATTTTCCATACTCCTCCCGTACTGTATAAATAGAATTAAAATTTAAGGTAACATACCAAAAAATGTGTAATAAATTTGTTGGCAAAATATTTTAAGTGGTATTTTGAATTGGCTATTATAGTATATATACAACACACACAATATATGAATATAAGATATGGCTGTGAAATTCAAATTATCTATTATTAAACCAATATACAGCTTTATGACATTTATATTATTTTTGAAAACTCACCATTTTATTATAAGTAATATCAATAAAATTTGGAACCCTGGCTAAAAAAAAGGTTTTGGATTTGTATAATTTTTTTATAAAAAAAAGTGGTTCTAATTCCACTGGTACAAAGTTAAATCAGTTTTTAAAAAAATTAAACAAATTTAAAAAAATCAATCATATCACAACTTTTGTTTTGCTGGAAATTTTAATTTGTTTCCAGGTTCTGGATATTTCAAAAGAGGATCTGTTTTCATGATTTGTTTTAGCACCATTTCTTAAAATGTATTATTAACGGTTCCTAGATTTTTTAGCTCTGGCTTCTAGATTTGTCTTAATTCCAGTTCCAAAAATCAACAATAATTTTATTTCGGTTGTAAAGAAATTATTGATAATAGGTGCGTAGCTAGGTATGGGGGAGGGTGTAATTTTATTTTATACTGAATGATTTTTTTGGAGTATTATAAATTTATTAGAACCAATCATATTTGAAACAAATGATAAAATATTGGAAAATACAAAATACTAAGAGTGAATATAATACGGTTGAAAAATATTATAGATACATAAACCGGTATGTAAATCACAATATAATAAATAAAACATTTTATAATGATTTAAAAAGTTAACCAAATTAATCTTCTTTCCGATTGGGCCAATTGTTTGCTTTCTGGATTAGATCTCGATGAGTAAAGCTAGTCTATTCAATCAATTTTAAGATGTCATAATTTTGATATAGGTTTTTATTCTCTGTAGAAGAAGGGGTTCTCTCATTTGTGCTTGTACTAATTGTTATCATTGCCAAAATATCTAATTTTAATATATTTTCAAAACTTATAAAATATAAATGCTCCCACTATATTTCTTGGAGGTTTATCTAAAAAAATGAATCTTTCATACCATTTAGTCCGCTGAATAAAATTTAGCAAAATATTTAATTTTTTAATATTAAGATTTGATATATCCTCAGATGCAGCAAAAGAGGAATAAAAACGGTTACTTTATAATGATCCTCAATTGAGCCCATGTTAATATTGGAACGATTTGTTTGTAGGTAAAGTCGAAGCATGTGAATCTCAAAATCATATAAAGCTTTCACCTCCTCAACAATCACTTAAATCTCGAGAAATTCTTCGTCGATATTAACTCTTGGTCTTTTTAGTTGTAATATAATAATATTCGCGATTCTCATAATCAATCAAATCCATTTTTTTGAATTGCATAAAAAAAAATTTAGTCATATTAAATCTAATAATGTATCAGCTTCAGATGAAATATATGTTTCAGGTGATTCTGATACTTCTCCAAGGGCATACAATATAGGCTCTTATAGATCCAAAAAATGTTGTAACACTTGATGTCGAAGGCTCCATCTTTTTAAAAATTTTGACCAAATGCCATATATATTTTTTTACCTCCATTTTAATCAATTTTGCAGTAAATCAATTTTGCAGTAATTATATTTTTTATAATATCTTTTTTAACCCAGGACCTTTTAGATCTACCCCAGCCCTCCTCCAACCGTCTGATGTTGAAACCCCTATTCAATTTATACCTATTCTAAACGGCTGGGAATTTTCACTTGAGGCTTCCTTTCCCCTCACCCCAATGCATCAATCTTTTAATGTATACCAACTTTCACTAAAAATCGTTTGATCACACATAAAATAACAACACCTTTGATTGTATATATATTTTTCTAAAACACTTATATGCCTTTCTTTAAGGTGTTTAATCTATTCTCCATTTATCTTCCTGTATATTTTGGCATTAGCAAACACCCTATCATTTTTTTTTCTTGGTCTGTATAGATGTAATGAACGAAAAAAAATTAATAACGAGGAATAGAAAAGTTATTATGTTTATTTGAATAAAAAATCGGTAAAATCAACCCTACCTTTAAAAGTAGCCCACTATTTCTACCGCTATTTTACAAGCGCGTTACTTTAACAACACTGCCCTTAAGATTCGAATTAGATATTGGTTCATGAAGATTTCTAAAAAAGCTTTCGGCCCGGTAAGATATTTTTCTCGGGTTGTCTGGACCTATTTTTTTTAATAGGCCAGCACATCAAAAATGTTTTGCCAAAATAGCCCTGTCAATTTTTTTTAGCCTTGTACATTGGCCGACATGCCTCTAATTCAAATGTCGTTGATAGTCATACCCTCATATCTGCTATATATGACCTTGTCTCAAACAATCTGTTTCTGTTAAATTAAGCGAAATTTATCCTAATCATTCTCTTCCAAGCTCTTATGTTGAATCCCCCTCCCCACTCCCAAAAAGAAGTCTTTATCTATACACGATATGACCACCAAGTTGGTTTTTTATTAGCCAGCTAAATCTATATCTTCCACAAGGCACTACTCACGTTTAACCAAAAAAAATTTTTTTTGAACATTAAAAACCATCTTATTTTTTTTCTATCAAATTATTATGATATCATACACCACATATTTTTTTAAACACATTTTTTTCTTATTTTCATTTTTCTTTATTATTTTATAAATTTAAATAACCTATATAAATATAAATATTACCTATAATATTTATTGCCTTTCTCCTTACTTACTTACCACTTTTATTTTTTTACCATTCATGATCATGTTTTTATATTTATTTTCACCCTCCTTTTTCGTTCAGTTTTTTTTTTAAAAAAAGAAAAGAAAATTTATTTTTTTTTACATATTTTGTCTCTTACCTTAAATATTTACACAAACTTAACTTTTCAACACTTTCCACTAATAATTTGCATATACATTATTTAGTAAAAGAGAAATTATATTGAAAATGCCAAACTATATAAAGGATATTTGGGCTTTACCCACTCCCACCCCTCATGACCAATAGTGAAACTTAACTGATTATTAAAATAAGAGATTAGCCTAGTGCTTGTTAAATGACTCGATTAGTTATCCAAACCTTTTTTTTCCATCTGTGAGCAAAATCTCCATGCTTGCATAATATTTTTTGGGTAAGATATTGGATTAGCCGTTTAACAACACTAGCCCTAAACCCCAGGGGTAAAATGACTTTGTACAAGTTGTCGGCCCGGTCCGTAATAATAATTTTTTTTTACTAAGGAAAACAACATACATAAGTTTGCCTAATTTTTAAGCTTTTAAAATAATAATTCGTGAGATTATAACATTGCCCTTAAAGGAATATTTTTTATAAATTATCCGGTCTGGTCCGGAAATCGTTTTATTTCGGAATCAAAATAAACCCATATCGAGAAATAAAAAAAGAGTAATAAATCCCCAGTTTTCTACATTTCACTAAAATCGTTGCGTTAGTGAAGGAAGGAAGGAAAGAAAGATTATATATAATATAATTAAACAAAATATAAAAATATATTTTAAACATTTATTTGAGGCATGAGGGTCATCTTAACATTTTATTCATCATTTAAAGTTTAATAAAAAAAACGTTAAAACATTGATTTGAAATATGATACAAATATAAATATCGTGAAACTTT